CTGGACCCCTGAAGACTGTGGGCAAACGGAAGACACAAGACTGTAAGAAAACAGGCTAAAAAAACCATGCTACTTGTCAGTTTGGAAAAAAAAAAAAAAAAAAAAATAAAATGAAAAAATCCCCAAGCCACTTCCTTGTCTGAATGATTAAGTCAGGGGTGCTGTAAGAGATGTAGATGGAATAAGCAGTGCATGCTAAATTCCCTGGGCTCTCTACAGCACAGACAGCATGAGTATGAAGCCAAATCCTCACTCAGAGTTTCACCAGCACATCTCCCATCAAAGTCACTGGGAGCTCTAAGTATCCCCCTATAAGCGTGGATTTGGTCCTTGGAGAGAATATCACAGTAAAGTTACTTCAGACAGCCAAAGTCTCTCCCTGTGATATATTCCCAATGGTCCTCTTTAGGTCCCTCCATCATTTATTGACTTCTACTTTGCTACATCCTGCCAGATGGAGGCAAGGAAATTTGAAGAGCAACTAGCGAGCGAAATACAAGGAAATAAAACCAACGCTGGCTCCCTGTTTCACAATTAGTTTTTACTTGTGCTCGAAGAGAACACCAGAGATCTTTGCAAAATTAGAATTGCCAGATATGCTGGATGCCAGAAATAATAAGCCCAGCTGCAACACAGCAACACAGGGTGTTAGTTCTCTCCCGTATATCAAGAAAACATGCTTTGATACGTTAATCTTTTAATATGTCAAAAAAGCGCACACAAAGCTAAAGAGACTTACAAATGCACCAAGAGTAAAACTACAGAACAGAAAAGGCCTCAATTCTAACATTAAAAAGTAAATATCCCCTGCCATCCATAGGTGGACAAAAGGCTGGACATATACTGTAGATGACTTCACACTCAGGATAAAACAAAAAAACATTAACTTGTCTCAGTTTATTCCCTATAGTAAAGGTTTTTGTGTCTTGAATACTGCATGTTTCTTCTATATTAATGACATTGATTGCCTTCTGCCTGTGATAATACAGAACACCACAATTTAAGTGATATAATGAGAGGTAGGATAGCACACAGTGATAAACTTTGGCAAGGAGATCTGAGCATTTAAATTAGAGCAACTAGCTGTACATCTAGACCACGCTGAAGTTAGTACGTATATACAAAGAGAAAAGGAAGAAAATCAAAGAAGTAGCAAGAACAAAGACACCATTAGAACCTGGAAAGTCTTCTAAGAAACACACTTAAAGAAAAGCAAGAATTGTTAACGCAAATGATTGTCGTCTAATAATAATTTAAAAAATGCATCTATCAACGTAAAAGCTCGTTAATCGACATGAAAGGGTGTTAGCTCTACATTTTCTGCTGGGATGGTTTGTGGGGGTTTGTTGGTGGTTTGTTTTTTTTTTTTTTTAATTTTTTTAATTTAATGGAGAACTCCAGATCTACACAAACATGCATGTTTGCACTTGTGGGTATGAAATCACATCGCTATTTCAGAGACCAAGTTGATGCTCCTATTACCAGTCTGGCCTAGATTGTGCAAGTTTGTTCATGTAAGATTAAAGGGATGAGGTCTCTATGGCATATTGCAGTATGGTCCTTGGAATAAGATTCTCATTTACTAAATAAATTACTGTATATTACTGTATAATGGTGTTCACATTATAACTGACAATTAGCACCATTAAAGAGAAAGCTCATAAACAGCCAAAGCTCACATCAAATTAACACAGTCATGATTAAAATCACTCTTCTGATTTCTGCTCTTCACAGAAATAATCAGCATTTTGCATAAAAATGAATACAAAGCAGTTCAAAAAAATCACAGCTACGCTGGGACGGTGGTACCAAACGCCGCCAGCGCAGCGCTGCCACGTCAGCTGTTTGCTCACCTATGGAATATCGAGCGCTGGGTTTCCCTCCCGGCAGGGAGCCCGCACGGCATGCCCCGCGCGCCGCAAGCTCTGCGCAGGCAGGGCTGCTAACCGGTGCAGTGACACCGGAGATTAAAGCACTGCAATTACTCCTTTCGGCTCTAATGAGGGGAACCTGGGTTCTCTCCTGGCCTGAGGGAAGCTCATCATCTTTACTTTAATTTTGTCACTTCACCATTTAAATGGTTTCTAGCGTTTGCATGTTCATTTATAGCGCCTTGACTTCAGAAAGAAAAAGAAAAACTTGAGTAATTATAGCGGAGAAGAACAATAACAAAATACAAAGGAGTCAGCAATTCATTAAAATTTGGAGAATGCAATGCTAAAAACTTTTCTTAACTTGAAGAAAAAAGGAGAGAGACTTCTTCTAAGCTGGCACAGAGCCCACGTTCTCATTAGGATTCACACTCCACTCGCACAGTAATATGCTAATGGTATCGCTTTAATCTTCAGCATCACAGCACTAGCTCCTGGCCTCACTCAGACGATGGTGCTAAAATGGCAAGAAGCAGGGGAAAAAGAAGTTTCAAGCCATTGCTGACCAGGCCTCGTATCATGAACTGGAACCTGGCCGTGGATGAAAGTTTGAGGCACGTGTATATCTCTGCTCATAAATGCTACTTCAGAGACAGCCAAGCTCATCATGGCTTCATAAGGCTCAAGTATCACCAAGGAAAATCAAATCAATAAACAAGCAATCAAGACCACATAATGAAAGAATACCATTACATATGCCATGGTTTGAAAACAAATCACAATATGCTACATATGCATAAAAGTACTGGAAGATAATACGCCTTTGATCCAACATGCCTTTAAAACAGGAAACAAAAGGATGTTCTCATATATCTTACCAACTAATTTAACATATAAATCACAAAAAAATATGATCCAGATGGGCTTCAGTGAAGGAAACCAATTAACGTAGACAGCCTTACCATCTGACACATTTGTTGTAATAATAAAAACCAAACAACATGGTCAAACTATAATGCTCTGTATTATATCTGACATTTCTAATTAGTTTCTGCATCCTCTTCAAGAAGAAAGACTCCCAGCAAGCACTTCATTTCCCAGAGGAAAAAACATCCAAACTTCATGTGCACAGAGCACAGTCTATGGATGAAGCTGATCTCTCTTCATTCCCTTGGGACGTGCTTTGGAACTAATGGGTTTTGCACAGTCCACATCTGGTTGCACAATTAGACTCAGAAAATGTTTCCTTTCAGCTGCATCGCCACTGTAACTGCTGCAGACCTGGAATGCCAATACCTGTGTGCTCCTTAAAAGCTTTGCCCAGGTCCACGGGCTCAAATAATCAGAATGATATGGGCTTTGCTTTCTGTAGGATAGGATTTTATTTTTTTCCTTTCTACTTCCTTCCCAGAAATGCCAATTCTCTAATGAAGGACAGCAGTTCTGTCACAGACCTTCCAGCATCAGGCAATTAGGGTTGCATCATACAGTTGCAAGCTGAACTACAATTAGCATCACAAATTAAAAGCTCCACTATGCATACATGTACCGTTACTGTTTGAGAGGTCTAATCCCAACTACGAGGACTATTTTTGCATTTATTGGCAAGAAGGACTCAGTTTCACCACCTTAGATATACTGGACCCTTCAAAATCCACCCATGAAAATCCTTTCCAGCACATGACTGAAATTTGGAATTCTTGGGCAGGAGGTAGATAGCATCACAACAGGGAAAGGCTTGACTTGGAATCTTCTCTTCCTCTAAAAAATAGTAAAGGAAAGGCTGTGGGAATTCTGCTAATGCCATCATACCCAAGAAGGTCAGAGAACAGAGGTTCATGTCATTGCAAGGAGGACAAATCACTTGGAAAATTATACTTTCATTACTAGGGTTAACACTACACCTATCTGATACAGTAATTTATTTTGCACAGCATTCATAAACAACCTTTGTACTTTGGAAGCCCCTTCTCACCTCCTGAAAAATTACGGCAAGCTAGGGGATGAATCGAGTTCTTACAAGACCCAGCTCACGAGACAACAATTTCTGTCCACGCGTGAGCTTTCTGGGCAAGCACAGCTCCCCACAACCCACTCACGTCCACATGCCACGCTCTGAATCAGTTTACCGACAGGCAAAGGTAATCCCAGGTAACATCTGTTTTAACTCACCATGCAAAACCTTGAATAAAGAGTGAAAAGTATCAACAAACTCTACTGACACAGAACACGGTGACCCAGGACTGTTGGTCACAAGCCAGGACCCAGCCGCACCGGGCTCCGCAGCAGCCCGCGGTGCCAAGACTCTCCCTGCCAGCTGAAGCACGTCCTTGCAGCACGTGGTCGCCCAGCCCCATGCTCCCAGCGTGGCCATGTCTGCAGGGTGCTGTGCCCGTGCCGGTGCCTCGCTCCCACTGTGGCAGAGCACTCTGCTACACCACCTCCTCGGCTGGCCCAGGGAAGTGGTGGAATCACCATCCCTAGAGGTGCTCAAAAAACACATGGATATGGCACTTCAGGACATGGCACTTCAGGACACAGTTTAGCAGGCATGGTGGGGTTGGGTTGACGGTTGGACTTAGTGATCTCAGAGATCTTTTCCAACCTTTATGATCCTATGATCAGACAGGCAGAGCCAACGCACAGCTGCTTGCACAGAGCTACGCAGACGTCCTGTTGGTACAAGGCAAGGGACTGCAGCTGAATACAGGCAGAGAGGGGGCCATACGCGTGCAAGGAAGCAATACTGACGAAAGACAGCAGCCTCGGCACAACGGCTCCCAAACCACTGCTATTTGTTTGTAAGTGTCATGGGAAAGAAAAGATTTGGAGGACGACGAGGTCACTTTGCGTCTAGTTGCAAGGAGATCCTCCCACACATGAAAAGCGGCTGTTTGCAACTTAACCCATGGGATGCGAGAGCTGGCAACGCCAGCAAAGCAGAGCTCAGAGCTGACATTGCAAAAGCACAGAAGAGATGACAGATAGAGCGCTGCGAGGGCCGGAAGGGCCTCGATAGTGATATGTTCACTGAAGGAAACATTGCCCTTTTCACAGTCGTCTCAAACTACAGCAATACATTCTGATTTTATTTTTTTCAAGAACGTAACCGCGTGTCTTTCCACTCACCTCAACGGGGAACCTCTTCCCATTGATGCTGTGCTCAGAGCCAGCTGATCCGTTGCTTTGACCCCAGTGAAATTCCACTTTCTCTGCCTTGAATCTGCCTGGCAAGCCGGCACCACTGACAAAATAATCATCCTTCAGCAGG